CCTATAATGATCATAAAAGATGTATAGTACTAACAACTAATTCAATAACCTTGCATTTTTTGTAATTTTGGTTATCATATTTCTTATTTATAGTTTATTAAAAAAGATTTAGTAAACTTTCATCAATAGTAAAGGTTACTAATTTTTCTTATTTAAGGTTACAAAAAAAAGTCTATAATAATGATTATAAAAAGGCATAATACTACTATCAAATAATCCAATAACCTTATAATATTAGTAATTTTAGTTATCAAATTTCTCATTTATGGTTTCTAATTAGAAAGCTAAACTCTATATTATCAAGAAATTTAACAACCTTACATGCTTAGTAACTTTATCAATGGTGAATTGTTATTAACTTTTTAATCAAAGAATACTAAAAAAGTTGTAGTGAATAAAGAGATATTTAGGGTTAAAAAAATAGAGAGGGTAATTTATTGATATATAGATTGATGGTTAATTAAAGTTCTTATATATAGAATTAGGAGTTTAATTTTATTTTTTGTACTATGTGTATATGTTAATCAATCTTAGTGTTTCATGAATATTTTCAACAAATTTTATTCTTATTCTTATTATTATTATTATTATTATTATATTTTGATATCACTAATTTTACTATTTCAATCTCTCCAAAACAAATCTCACAATTCAACTAAACACATTCGGACCTGTAAGTCAAATTTGTATAAGGCTATTTTAAACTTAATGCAACATGAGGAAGTATAAAATTAGGTGTACAAAATTGGTTCCTATAATTACTATGCGTATCTTTGGCAAGTTGAAGCAAAATTAAAATTGATATCTAGCTATTACTCTACCAAACTAATGAATGATCTATGTGATCTAATGGATGATCAATGTGATCTAAAATAACATAGCAAAAAGGTAATAATTTTATTTAAGGTTACAAACAAAAAATCTATAATGATCAAAAAAAGGCATAATACTACTATGAACTAATTTAATAACCTTACATTCTTAGTAATTTTGGTTATCAAATTTCTCATTTATGGTTTCTAATTAGAAAGCTAAACTATAGAATTATCAAGAAATTTTAGCAACCTTACATGCTTAGTAACATTATCAATGGTGAATGTTATTAATTTTTTAATCTAAGATTACTAAAAAAGTTGTAGTGGATAATTTAAGAGATATATAGGGTTAAAAAATAGTGGGTTTAATTTATTGATATATAGATTGATGGTCAGTTAAAGTTCTTGTATATAGAATTAGGAGTTTAATTTTATTATCTTATTCTATGTGTATATGTTAATCAATCTTAGTGTTTCATGAATATTTTCAACAAATTTTATTCTTATTATTATTATTATTATTATTATTATTATTATTATTATTATTATTATGATTATATTTTGATATCACTAATTTTACTATTTCAATCTCTCCAAAACAAATCTCACAATTCAACTAAACACATTCGGACCTGTAAGTCAAATTTGTATAAGACTATTTTAAACTTAATGCAACATGAGGAAGTATAAAATTAGGTGTACAAAATTGGTTCCTATAATTACTAATTCATATGTCCTTTCCTTTTTTTGATGATAGAGAAATTAAATTTATATATATGCGTATCTTGGGCAAGTTGAAGCAAAATTAAAATTGATATCTAGCTATTACTCTACCAAACTAATGAATGATCTATGTGATCTAATGAATGATCAATGTGATCTAAAATAACATAGCAAAAAGGTAATAATTTTATTTAAGGTTACAAACAAAAATCTATAATGATCAAAAAAAGGCATAATACTACTATGAACTAATTTAATAACCTTACATTCTTAGTAATTTTGGTTATCAAATTTCTCATTTATGGTTTCTAATTAGAAAGCTAAACTATAGAATTATCAAGAAATTCTAGCAACCTTACATGCTTAGTAACATTATCAATGGTGAATGTTATTAATTTTTTAATCTAAGATTACTAAAAAGTTGTAGTGGATAATTTAAGAGATATATAGGGTTAAAAAATAGTGAGCTTAATTTATTGATATATAGATTGATGGTCAGTTAAAGTTCTTGTATATAGAATTAGGAGTTTAATTTTATTATCTTATTCTATCATATGTTAATCAATCTTAGTGTTTCATAAATACTTTTAACAAATTTTATTCTCATTATTGTTATTCTAATGTCACACTGTAATACCTAATTTCACCATTTCAATCTCTACAAAACAAATCTCACAATTCAACCAATCATATCGGACCTGGAAGTCAAGTTTGTATAAGATTATAACTAAACTTAATGCAACATGAGGAAGTATAAAATTAGATGTACAAAATGATTCCTAATTACTAATTCATATGTCCTTCCTTTTTTCGGTGATAGAGAAATTAAATTTATATGCTATATATACGTATATATAGAAATTAAAATTTATATGATAGAAATTAAATCACATTGCTAAAGATACGTATATATAGAAATTAAAATTTATATGATAGAAATTAAAATTTATATGATAGAGAAATTAAAATTGATATCTCGCTATTATTCTACCAAATTAATGAATTATCAATGTGATCTAAAATAGCAAAAAAGTAATGAATGGATGATCTAATCTTAATCTTCAAATGAAAGTATAATTTTTCCAAAAACAAAAGAATGGAATTGATCAACTTCTTTCTTAACTTCTCTACGATCCATTTTGCTCAAATAAAATTTTTCACTCATAATTATTCTTTTGTACTTGATTATTTTCTTTCTCGCAGTTACTGCATCTCTCTTTTACATATATTAAACCTAAACCACAAAAAAAGGAATTCTCTATACAAAGCTTTCTTCGATTATACTAACTTTTGTAATGTAAGTTTATTTGGGCAAAAAGTTATTTAAAAAAATTTTATAGATGAAGAAGAGCATAATGCAATAAGAAAAAGAAGAGAGAATATGAATTTCACAAAAAAAAAAAAAGAAATTGCAAGCAGCTATAAGATCAACATCATTTAAAAAAAAAAAAACCCTTTTTTCCCAAACAAAGTTGGGTTGGGAGAAGAAAATAATACTATGCAAAACAATAATTATGAGTGAAAATATATAAACTTTTTCACTTACTTATTGTAGATGGTTTAAAATTTAATAAGGTTAATATTTAAAAAAAAAAATGGAAAAAAAGGGTTTGTTACTCATTCTCTGGTAACGAAAAACAAATTTACGGTGTTGAAATATAAACACTAACTACCATGGGAAATATAACACTGGTACCGATATTAGTTTTCTTCTAAAGATAATCTTGGATTTTTTTAATTAATATATATGTCATGACTCACCTGAAAAAAAAAATCTAATAGTTTCATTTTAAAAAAGGATATTTTCTAATACATAAATGCAACATACCTAAATCTCATTATCATTTTTTTTTGGTACCGAGAAACCTCATTATTATTAACATAAAAAAATTGGGAAAAGTGTATTTATAATAGTTTATAAGAAAAATAAATCTTCTTTTAAAGCCCTTTACATTTTATTTTACTCAAATAAGCCCCTATTTTCATATTGAACCTAAATAAACTCTTATTTTTAAATTACACCAAATAAACCCTTATTTTTTCACTATCTATCTAAAATAGCCTACCAAGGCTGATTTTATTATTAAAAAAAAACTCTTATACTATTTATTGGTAAAAGTATAGATACTTTTATTTTGGTGCATGGACTTATTAGGTGCAAATTAAAAGTTTCGATGCTTACTCAAGTACAATAAATATTTAGGTACTTTATTTTGATAAAATAGAATAATCTAGGATTTAAAAAAAAAAGTTTTTACACTTTTTTTAATTTTAATTAAAACGTGAACTACCATGATCTACACATATATAAATCAAGGAATAGAAAAACGTGAGGAAAACATATTTGATCATTTTCCTTTTTCCTAAAGAACTTGTTAATTATTTTGTTTTGCTTATCTATTAATAATAATATTGACTGCCTTTCAAAAAAAAAATTATTTTGTTTTGAAATCCAATTGAAAATATATTATTGTTAGATTTAATTAAATATAAATAGAGTTTCTAGTAGAGTAAAATTATAATATTTAAACAATTACATTTAAAAAATATATTCAAAATAAAATTACATATTAAACCTTAAAAGTTAAATTTAATATTTAAAATTAAAAAGGGTATTTTAGATATTTCAGGTCAAGGTTTTTAAAGTTTAGGATTATAGAGTATAAAGATAGATATATATATATATATATATTATCATAGTAGTAGAGTCATAGTTAAATAAGTAAATCACCATAAGAAATCTTGGCCGGTGTTTTCCAATTTTGAAGGAATATTTATGATGCCTTTAGGAAGCCAATAAAATTTGATATATATGCCTTTAGAGTTCCAAGTTTTCACAATTTTGATTATTCCCCTCCCCATTTTATTTTGGAGTATCTTAATCCTTTTTTTTGGATTAAACTTTAAAGTGAAACTGTGCCGGAAAAAAAAAACTTTAAAGTGAAACTCAAAAGAAACAAACATCAACAATAAATAAACAGAACTGCCTACAATATAATATCCCATTATTTATCTATCAAAACGCCAAAAAGAAACAGAACATCAATAATGATGATAAACGACTATTATTCAAAAGAAAAGAAAGTTATGGAAGTAGATAAGTTAAAGCCAATTCTTCCCAGGTGGCATCTTCCAAGAATGAATCAGACCATTGAATTAAAACCTCAGTAGCAGCCTTGTTTCCCTTCCGAACCATCCTTCTATCCAGCACTTTTAATGGCTCTTTAAGCAATGCTCCATCATCATCAGTCATAGGCAACAAAGCTTGAGCTTCACTAGTTCCCACCTTTTTTTTTAACTGAGAAACATGAAAGGTGGAATGAATTTTTGACTCAGGAGGAAGTTTGAGTCGATAAGCCACTTTACCAACCTTTTCCAGAATTTCAAATGGCCCGTAAAACTTAGCTGAAAGCTTGTAATTCACCCTGTTGGCCAATGAGTGTTGTCGATATGGCTGTAGCTTCACAAAAACTCTATCTCAACATCAAATTCTTTGCCAATTCTGCTCTTATCAGCCAAACTTTTCATCCTGTTCTGCGCCATTTCAAGATAAAACTTGAGCATTCTAATTGCATTTTCTCGAGCCTTCAAGCTCCTATCCAACACTTCTACATTTGATTCCCCAGCTAAGTAAGGTTGATGTAAAGGAGGAGATTGCCCATACATTGCTTCATACGGTGTAGTCTGGATAGAGGAATGGAAGGTAGTGTTATACCACCATTCAGCTAGATGAAGCCACTTACTCCACTCCTTAGGGCTCTCATGACACATACACCTTAGATATGATTCAAGACAACGATTCACCACTTCTGTTTGCCCATCCGTTTGAGGATGATAGGCAGTAGAGAGCTTCAGACTAGAACCAAGTTGCTTGAAGAGTTCCTGCCAAAACTTACTAACAAAAATTTTGTCTCTGTCAGATACTATGGATTGGGGCATTCCATGTAACTTATACACATTCTCCATGAATATTTGTGCTATAGAGATAGCAGAAAAGGGATGTGATAGTGCAAGGAAATGAGCACTCTTACTCAACCTGTCAACAACTACCAGAATAGTATCCTTACCAAAATATTTAGGCAACCCTTCAATGAAGTCCATTGAAATGTCCTGCCATATTTTCTCAGGTATAGGGAGTGGTTGTAAGAGCCCCGGATATGCCACATTCTCATTTTTACATCTCTGGCAAGTTTCACATTCATTGACAAACCTCCTTCACATCTTTTCTCAAACCTTTCCAATACAGTACTGAAGTGATCCTACTGGTGGTAGCATTGATCCCCGAGTGACACCCAACAACACTATTGTGAAGATACCCCAGCAACTCTTTCCTTAATTCCGCTTGGTTTCCCACAACCAATTTTCCCTCTCCTTCTCAATTGCTTATCCTTCCAAGTGTATTTAGAGTCCAACAATTGACCCCCTTCAAGCTTCTTAATAATGTTCTGTAGTCGCTCATCATTGCTCCAAGAAACTGAAATCTTTTCGATTAAGTTGGTGCCTATATAATGGAGATACTCATAAGCTGCAAATTACCGTCAGTAGGTTTCCTGGACAAAACATCTGCTACTGTGTTTGTGGCTCCTATTCTATATATTACATCATAACTATAACCCATCATCTTAGCTATCCACTTCTGTTGGGCTGGAGTGGTTGCTTGTTGAGAAGAGAGGAACCTCAAACTTTGATGATCAGTTTTGATAACAAAATGTCTCCCAAGTAGATAAGAATTCCATTTTTTGACTGCAAATAATACCGCCAACATCTCCTTGTCATATACAGACATCGATTGGTGCTTTGGAGATAACCCTTTGCTAAAATAAGCTATTGGTATGCCCTACATCATTCCCAGAAGCATCAGTTTCCACAATAAATTCTTTGGAAAAATCAGGTAAGGCTAACACCAGTTCTTGAGTAATAACCTCCTTAAGTTGCTTAAAGGCTTCATCAGCTTCCTCTCCCCACTTGAAGGCATCTTTTTTGAGTAAATTAGTCAGAGGTCGAGCCAACACGCCATAGCTCTTAATAAACCTCCGATAGTAGCCAGACAAGCCTAGAAATCCTCTTAGTTCTCTAATAGACTTAGGTCGTGGCCAATCCAATATACTTTCGACCTTTTTCTTGTCCATATATACTTCACCATTGGATATGACTTGCCCCAAATATTCAACTTCCTTTGCAGCAAAATCACACTTGCTTTTCTTCACAAATAATTGATTACTTTGCAAGATCTCAAAGACAGTTTTTAAATGGTTCACATGTTCCTCAAAAGTTGCAGAATATACAAGTATATCATCAAAGAACACAAGCACAAACTTTCTTAAGTATGGCTTAAATATAGAATTCATCAAACTTTGAAATGTAGCAGGGGCATTAGTGAGCCCAAAAGGCATAACCAAAAATTCATAATGACCCTCATGGGTTCTAAAAGCTGTCTTATGCACATCACATTCATCCATACGAATCTGGTGGTATCCAGATCTCCAATCTAATTTAGAAAACCACCTAGCAGCCACTAATTCATCAAGTAACTCTTCTACTAAGGGTATAGGAAACTTATCTTTAATGGTAATGTCATTGAGCTGCCTGTAATCCACACAAAGCCTCCATGATCCATCTTTCTTCTTTACCATCACCACTGGTGAAGCGAAAGAACTAGAGTTGTTTCTTATAATGCCTGCAGCAAGCATCTCTTTAATCATCCTTTCTAATTCATCTTTCTGGATGGAGGGGTAACGATAGGGTCTGACTTTGATAGCTTTGCTTTCATCTGTTAGAGGTATTCTATGATCTTGTAACCTCTTTGGAGGCAACCCTTGTGGAACTCCAAATAATTCCTCAAACTCAACAAGAATGGCCTGAATTTGTGGCTGCATCTCCTCGGCTCCTTTCAATTCAGCCACTGGTGAAGCTGCAATCATTAATGCACTTGGTTGAGGCCCCTTCTTGGCACAGATAGAGTACAAGGATTTTAAGGCCCTTTTCTCATTCTCTAACTCAATGTGGCCTTGTTGTATCCCCTGTATTTTCCTCCAAACTCCATCTAATTCAAACTGCATTGTGAGTAAGGAAAAGTCCCATAAAATGGGTCCTAAAGTAACCAACCATTGGACTCCTAGAACAGCATCACAACCATGCAGAGGCAATATAAAGAAATTGGTGCAAAATTTAACTCCTTGTACCTCCCACTCTACAGACTTGCAATAACCAGCAGTACATACCGCCTCACCATTAGCAATTATCACCTTCTTCTTGAATCCCTTTTGATAAGGCAGTTTCAAGGACTTTGCAACATTGCAATCTAGGAAGTTATGAGTACTTCCTGAATCTACCAACATGGTGGTGTTGACTGAGTTAACCTTGCCTCTTACTAGCATAGTTTGATAACTAGAGATGCCAAGAATTGCATGTAAAGAGATGACTGGAATCTCTTGCTCATCATGATCATGTAACAGTAGCTCAGAGGAATCTACACTGTCAGCAAAAACTTCACTTTCCTCCTCTTATTGGTCCGCAATCATCATTTTGCATAACTGGTATAATTGTGACTTCATGCACTTGTGCCCAGGCACGTATTTAACCCCACACCAGTAGCATAACCCTTTCCTTTTCCTTTCCTAAATTTCTGCTTGGGTAGGCTTTTTGGTTGGTGTTTTGGAACTTGCAGTGTTTGAGTTGGTGGTATTTTGGGTTCGAGAGGTATTGGTGGAGGAATAATGTGTGCTTGAAGTAACTTTGGGTGTTGATAAAACAGGGGGATTACCATTTCGGAACTGAGTAGTTACCACGGTGGTAGTAGGGGAAGAGTTGAGGGTAGAATTGATTTGGCTTTTATACCCAAAACCAGGTTTTTTAAAGGTGGGAACCATGTCACATTCAACAATCTTGGCTAAGTGCAGGGCATGGTTTAGAGACTAAGGTCGAAACATCCTTACCATCACACCAATATCAGCCTTCAAGTTATAAACAAAAGCACTCAAGGCATAGCTAGGTTGCAATTTTAACAGATTCAAGATACTTACAAACTGTTCATAGTATTCTTGAACATAAATGAGGCCCTTAGACTTATATATAAGTATTACTAAGTTTGTGGTGCCTAGCATTCTGAATGTCTGTTGGAAGATTTGACTTTTATATATTGATGAATATTTGATAGTTGAAAATCCCAGCATCAATAAGCTTTGAGCTTTTCTTATGATAGATATGATTTTCAGTGCATAGTTGGGTATTAAATCGTTGATTTAATCTCTCTATAATAATTTTGTAGCCACTTTTCCAGTTAGCCTATTGGAAGATTCGCAAATTTGCAAGCATTATATATTATTTTAGGATGTTGGATATTTGGAATTCTTTTTCATCATGACAGGACTCTTGCTTGCAATAGTAAGTTATATGCTCTGTTTGCAACAGGATCATTGCATCACGATCGATTACTTTGTACCATTTTATATGTTTGCAGGTCCGGTTGCTCAAGACAAGTTCCATTGGAAAGCTAATAAGGCCTCATTGTCCGAAAAACAAGTGGGTATCTATATTTGTTTATGAAAAGGCATTGGAAATGGCCGAGAGCTCATGTTTGAGGTGAGGTTTGTTGATTCTTTGTTTTCTTTCACTAGAAGGAGCAGGTGGTAAACTTCATCAAAAGTTAAGGTTTCTTAAACAATTAACTCCTTTTTTTATGCATTTTTTACTTTGCAGACTTTTGGCAATTTCCAACAGAGATCCCATTTCACGTTTGGATTTTATGGTGGCTATGGTGCTGGACGCGCTCAGAACTAAAGGGGCTCTCTTATAATTGGGGCAGTGAAGAAGTTTGGAGAAAATATGAAAAAGTTTTTTATGTTTTAGAGTTTTACAAAGTTTTTATATAAAATTAATAATTGAAATGTAGTATATAAACTATTGCAAAAGAATTCTGTATGGATTTTCTATATATATATATATATTCAATTTGAAATTTTAGTAAGAAAAAATGAATACATGTTTTCTTTTTTTAGAAATATGTCAATTTTTTTTCAATCATGCTCTACTAATAACTAGAAACAAAAATTAAATGTTGAATTGAGAAGAATCTTAAGCCCTTGTTTGGTTGGGATATTTAGGAGAAGTGGGGAGGGGTTTAAGGGGTGAGTGTTTGTTTGGTTGGAGGGGTAGAGAGGGGGAGGGGTACCACCCCTTCAAATCCTTCAAATCCCTCAAATTCCACCCCTCCAAATCGACGGAATAGGGAGAGGTGGGTTTGTGACAAAATTTTTATTACCAAAAGTAACCCCAATATATTTGAATAACCCAAAATTATCCTCATCCATTAAAACTCAACACCAATCATCCTCTTCATTATTATCCCCATAAGATCTTCATAGCAGACCTTGAAAAACCCAGATTTGGGAATATGTTGAAGATGGCCATTTTTGTTTCAAGTAAACACTTATTTTTTTTGAAATTTCAATCTAATTAGCTCTTCAAGTTTTCCTTTTGTCTTGAAGTCTCTTCTCTTATCTTTCCTTCTTATAATGAAATATGATTTAGTCTTTTGTGTTGATGGGTTTTCATTATTTTGAAAATTTGTAAATATATGTTTGAAGAACATCTTGGAATCGCTCTCTTCTCCAAGCTATTTATCCTTGCCATCCACCTTCAACGAAAAATAAAATATTTGTTTCATCATATATGTTCCTCCTATTGGTGAAAGGGTGAAGGATTTTGCTTTTGCTAATATTGTCTTGAATTTATTTCCAGGAACAACTACTCGTTTGAATTAAGATAATCTTTCCATTCAAAAAGACTGCTGGGGATAAAATTAAGTAGTCTTTTTTTATTGAGGACAAGCAAGTAGGGGATATTCATGAAGAATTATTTTGCATTATTAGTTGGGCAAATGGATGAAAATTCTTTGGTTTTATTTGTGAGTTTGGCTGACTGTAAATTTGTGAAATATATATAAATAGGGATAAATTTGTAAAATACAAATGAAACTCCTCACAACCCTTTTTTTCAACCAAACACAAAACATAAGAACATCCGTTCTTACCCCTTCCTTGAACCAAACATAATTTTTATACAACTCTTCCAAAACCCTCCCCCTCCCTACCCCACCCCACCCCTCCCTCATTTGAACCAAACAAAGGCTAAGTCTTAATTCAAATAATGTTGTCTATAAAAAAACATCTTTTCTCCATTAATAATTTACAAAAAAAAAACAATCTTTTCTCCAATCGGTTTTGCATAGAAGAAGAAAGCACGCGGTGAAACGCGGGGATATACTAGTTATAAAGAAACAATAAAAATAGGAAGTGTCCCCAAGGGGACACCCCAACGGTTAAAGATTGGGATTTCTTACGGGAGGTCCCGATTTCGAATCCCGAGATGAGCGGGGTGGGATTATGGAAAAGGAGAGGGTTATTTCCTATTGCGTAGTCCATTTCAATATCATGTTCATGAGTAGCAAAAAAAAAAATAAAAAGAGGAAGTGAAATTACACAAAAACCAGGCTAAAGATCCTATCTCATTAATTTGCTTATTATTGAATTTGGACTTTTAGTCATTTCAATATATTATTAAAGTTTGAATGGATATCCATTTTCTCTAATAATCTTACCCATTGGGTTGGCCCAAACCGTCTTTGACCCGGATCGCCTTATTATCCAGTGGGTTTTGGGGTGTTTTTATTGAGAAGGAGATAAGTAAGGCTCCTAGAAGGAGCAGGAGAGAGAGAAAACGAGACAGAGAAAACGGAAGAGAAGAAGGAGCGAATAGGAGAGGAGAAGGAAGAAAGAATGAATAGAGACAGAGGGAAAACGGGGGACATGGGAGGAGGGAAACCAGAGCAGGCGGCGGAAAAGAAAAGGAGGGGAAGGAAGAAGAGATGGCGGGAAAAGTAGAGAGGAAGAGCATGAAGGAAGGAGAGAGAGAAAGGAAGCTTCGACCAAAAAAATCTCAACTCAAGAACAAGGAGGCATAGAAAGAAGCGATTTAAAGAAAAAGATGGTGAGACCAATTAATCATCAGAAGACAGGTTTGGCCGAGATCTTTCTTTTCTTTTCTGATTTTGTTTTGCTTTCTATATTTGAATTTCTTGGTTTATTCTCATTTTGTGAGAAAATTCTGTGATTTATAAGGATGGAGATTGAATAATTAATACACCTATTTTCTTTTTATTTTCATGTGATTTCTATCTCAAAATTAACATCACTGGTTTCCTTTCATCAACAATTGGCAGCCGTTGAAAATGAGTATCATTCTTCCAGAGAGCAGAGAAGGTCGTGTTGTTTGGTTGATTGAAAAACCCAACTCGGATTCCCACTTATCTCTTGATGCCACTAATCTTTATATCAGGTAAAGTTCTGGTTTTTGTTGGGGAGTTCAAGCTATTTTCTATGTGGGTTTCTTTAGCTTTTACTCCATATCTGTTTAGTTTGAAATTAGCTACTTTTATTTAGACCGATAATTTTATTTGGTTTTTAAGATCATTTTAGATTGATTGTTATTCTCTTAACTTTCATGAACCTGAAGAAAATTTATAGTACAATTCAATTGAATTGCATCAAGGAGTTGGTGTTTCTGAATATATATTTTGAATTAAGAGTGTTTTTATATGGTGATGCTGTTACCTTTTTGGCTTTGTGCTTTGCCAGTTAATGCTTCTTTCATTCTTTTAAAGATTCATATTGATCATGAAAAGCTTAAACTAAGCTCAGTTTATATGTTTGTATTGTTTACAAATTTAATTCCTGATGTTTGCAGTACGTGAATTGGATGTTCCTGGCAGATATATGAAAGAAAAACATATGCTTTTTGAATTTTGTACTGTTGAAATGCCATATGAATCTTATATGGTGTCAATTTGCGACTAAGGTATGCTACCTTCTGAGCTCATAATCTTTGAAGCTAAAATTTTATTCATATTTCTACTGGTCAATTTGAACAGAGTATTTCCTTGATCACCAAAAGTTTGTTTACTGAGTACTATTGAGCTTAGAAATCAGTTTGATTATATGATAGTTTCGGTGCCTACCTGGACATATTTTAGAAGTTATTCAGATCAGATATGTATTTGTGTAATATGCTAATTGTGAATTATGGAGCTTTAGAATGCTTTTTAGTTATTTTGGTTCACAGATGAGGCCGGTTATGTGACACTATAGCAGGACAACTAATGTTACGATAATTTGATATTTGCTCCTCAGGTATATGTCCTGAAAGTGACAATTAGTCATAATTACGGTGGAAGCATAGTCTAATAGCAGGACTTTATGGTAAGCATTTCATTGTTCCCACTTCATTTCATTCATTTTCTTTATAATCTCTTATTTCTTTTCATGTGCACTAACAGTACTAT